GTCTTGTTCAGTGTCCGTTTTTAATGCATGTTAATCATTCTTATCTATCTTCATATTGATGATTGTACAAAGGCACACACACATACACAAAGATAGTAACAAATTATTCTCTCTTATTTCGAATCTTGATAGTTCCAGACTGTTAATTTTGATGGATCCTAGTGAAAGATAAATAACTAAACATTTGTTGTACATCAGTTTTTCATTATTTGTGTTGATAGCCACTGGAGGATTAAAACTCTATCTTAATATCGGAAAGTTGAAGGTAATCATCAAGGAAATATGGATTAAGATTTTGTGTTAATTAACAACGGGAAAGTAAAGCCTAGAACAGAGTTTGTTGAAGATCTCTGATCGGCGGCTCTACCAGGGATAATAGATGCAAGTAATTGAGTAAGAGTTGTCAACAAGACAAATCGACAATCATGAGAAAACTGAATCTTATCATGAAATTTAATCTGTTTCTTCCTATTATTTAACATCGAATCAAGGAATCACATAATACTGGATTACTTAGATCAGCGATCACTTTGAGATTTAGTCGATAATTCAATCAAGCATAGCACTGATTACTACACGGTTGTCACTCAATGTCAAACATTAGTCTTAATGGAATAATATTATACTTGTTAAGTGATAAGAATTTAACGAGAGACTAGAATCTTTAATTTGGTCAGATATATAATCTGTACAAATACAACAATAAATAAGTTAAAATTAGGAATGATATAACCGTTTATCCCTATGACTACAACCAAACTACTTCATTATTACTAAGACTATTAGTATCATAAGTTGAATATTAACACTCATAACTCATTATTATTAATTATACAGATTTATTTACATTGATACTGTTTTGGTCTGAATTTTATCATGTTTTTAATTTTTCAATTGATACTATCTGCAAAATGATAAAAGGCGTTCCATTGTGTCAAGCTGATGAAAAACCTTGGTATACATGATATCAACAAAAAATATTGAAAATATCGAATCAATGTGGAGATTTTTGGAGATTTTGATATTTTCGAAGCGGAAATCAAGAGTTAATATAAGCCAGAATACCATTGCAAAACCTGTAAGTATTAGAAGACTGTTTCGTTCTAGTATGAGACTTCTCAGTAGTGTTTATCAACGATTCTGAATTCGAGATTCAAACACATGAACTTTGGTCTCGCACGTGAACACTTGGTTTCTAGATCACTGAGCTAGCATTCAAGAGTGTTTATTTCTAACTAAAATCAATCCATATTGTGCAATCATTTTTTATCATCCTAGGTTGATAACTGTGTCACATCTGACACAGTTGAACTCCACTGGTCACGGCTTTTCACTAGAACTTCAGGAGCTACATCTTGAAGCTAGCCGCTAGTCAGCACATGATTATTATTAATATGGAAATTTACAAATCAATTGAAGTTAGATATCAACACCATTGGATGCCGAATTAGTAGTCGAGAGTTTAAGCATTCGCGAGAGGGATGTAAAATCCAGAGTTCGGTTCCTACGTACTGGATCACAGCTGCGCACTGCTGAGCTATCCCCTGCTAGAACAAAATGGTCGCCCTGTGCTTCCAGGTTTTCTATGGTGTTCTAGCTTAGATCGACTTGTGAATTCAACCTTGAATACTGAATCGTTTAATTAGTATTATCCGAATAACGTCCCAATACTGTTTGCTTTTGTTTTCTAAAGAAGCAAATCATTTTTTAACCTGTTTATATGATAGATCTTAATTATTTATCAGTCAATAGTTAATAGAATTGGATAGAATGAATAGATTTGTTTTTCAAGTTGATTATTTCGAATCATCATAAGTTATGTCTGTATATTCTATATACAATTGACCATAATAAACTTTAATGAATAACTCTTATCTCAGAGTGTTTGCATATTTATTCGAAAAATTCATTTTGTATTGTTTGTTTAAATCTTCCGATTGATGTTTAGCATTGCAAACTATCAGTCACTTATCGGCATATGTGCTCTCTGTATGGATTACTTCAATAGTGTCTTAGATCAAAAGTAGTTCTGTGAACAAGGTTTGTAAATGAAGACAATATCAAGGTACTTCGTGGAGGATACACATATGTCAAATAAGACTGATGAACTACAGTCATAAACATCCATGGGAAGATTCGAACAAATAATAAGAAAATGAATTAAAGCTCCACTTCATTGCATAATCTATTATCTATCTGGACTCGATAACTATATGAATAACAAGTTGGTCATTTTATATGAACAGCGCTAGGTTCGAGTCCCAAAAATAATAACAACTCTGGGATTCTGGTACATTGATCTGATGAGTCCAGATTCGGGCGAAACTTGAGTCTTGAATACCACTACTAGTTATCATCCATCTCTACTTAGAAACAGTTGATTGTTTCCTCTATAAAATGACTTATAATTCCATCAACCATCTGTATACCTTATTTAGCATACTTTTTGATATTATTTGATAGTTTGAACACCTTCAAATAACAGACTGATCAGCTGCTGTGCTAAAAATCAATGGGAAGATTCAAGTAAAACAATACCAAGTGAAATTAAAATTGCTATAACTTTTCATTCCAAACACACACACACGCACACAATCTGAAACAAACATGTACAAGAGTGTTTTTTTTTAGCTTTATTCCATTTCATTTGTTTATTCAGGTGATTTCATTCAAGATTTAGTTTATAATTAAATATAAAGAATTTCATCAAAAACTGACATCAGTTGATTGAAGCAAGTTGTGTGAGGTCGAGTTAGAATTATGGAATACTACTAGTTGTTAATGTTAAACAGATGTTTTTCAATGAAGTCATTATATTACAGATGTGTTGTACCGCTTCCTTTATATCTTCTATAAATTCATAAAATCATGAAGATATACAGTAAATGGGATATGATTCAGTTATTGAAGTGGAAAACAAATAATTAACACTTTCAATCTTTAGTCAATTCACATGATATTGGGACAGATGTCATTCTTATTTAGATTATTATGTTCATATGGAGTTGTTCCTTTGACTTGTCTTTTAATCCAATTCGGTATATGTGAAAAGAGAAAGAGAACAAGAAGAGTACAGTAAAGAAAAACAAGGTGGATGAATAATGATCTGTAGAAAAGGGTTACATTTTAATTGAAAATACCACAAGTAAAAACCTTCACTAAAAACTTGCAAGTACCAGAAGCACCCTATACAGATAATGACATTGAATTATATTCACTACAATTGAATATGAATTTCTTAATCTCAGCATTATTAACATGAAGTTTTCACTGAGTATCAATAATCTTTTGGGGACAATGATAACTGAATCCAAGAAATCACCCCATTGCCTACTTAGTTAGTATCTCTAATTAGTGTTGTGCGCCAGGAGTAATCGTATTTCATTGTAAAGTTAATTGTTAGTGTGGATACAGACATGATTTACAAGAGAGGCATTTGTCTTGTGGCTTATAAAGGATTCTGAACTTCACTATCAGGAATTATAGTTCTTTTTTATAAATACTTTTCTACAACCAGAATAGAATTTAACTGGCTTTCTATGGTTATCCATTTCACAACCAAATTCTTTTTTATAAGGTGAGACTGGTAAACCAACATTCAACCTCTCCTTCATGGTCGATAGCTTTCGATCTGCATTAATAGGGACTTAGACAACCATGACATTGATCGCCACCCAGTGATCAATCAATTGTGATTACATCTCAGTCCTACAGGAGGTCGGTCGGGGATCAGATAGCTCAGTGGTAACGTCTCTGACTGTGAAGCTGGGTGATACGAGATCGAATCCGATAAGGAGCACCAGTTCCCTCAAGATTACAGGTACACCTTACTGACGAGTGCCAAGTAGCACGAAACCCGGAACCAGGGTTTCATGTCGACTACCTCTAACCACCATCTAATCTCAATAACTGTCTAACAATCGAATAAATAACACTAGAAAAATGACTGTTATTTTTTGTAAATATTTCTTTTAAAAAAAGATAACATGATTGATTGCTAAACACTAAAATACCCTATTTTTCCTGAAACACAAAAATGGTTAGTAAAATGACAAGAATTTCATTTCACACTTATTACAATTTGTAATATACATAGGAGTGTGTGTGGGGGGAGGGGTGTTAATCATTAGATCGCCCAATGCGAAGTTTAGTTTCAACAGTATTAATCTAAATGGTAACTGTCAATTAATTAAAATTTAAACGAACTATTCTCTGCTGAATATAATTTTTGTAAATAATAAAGAAATGATCACTTTAACATATGTCTGATCATTTTTATTTGTAAAAAAATTGTTGTCAGTTATAGGGTTGCAGAGTTTGCTGAGTTTCAATTGACATCATGAACCATAGAAAACTTGGAAGCATTGGACGGCCAATGTGTTGTAGTATATGATTACTCATTAGTGCGCATCCTGGATCGCGAACTTGAGACTCAAACCAAATACCTTCGAGCTTCGCGCGTGAACACTTAATCTATAGACCATTTAGCTTTGGTCAAGCGGTGTTCATGATCAACTTCAATCGATTCGTGATATTGTATGATCATCTTCTTGAAGTTTCAATGAGAAGCTGTGACCAGTAGAGTACAATGCATGTTGAGTGTGAGACAATTATCCACCACAGAAAATGGATGAAGAGATGTTCAGAATCGTGGATCGATTAAAATTAGGCATGAACACCATTGTATTTCGTCTCAGTGGTTTAGAGGTTAAGTGTTCGTGCAATGCCGATGGTCCTATTTTCAGACCCCGAGTGCGGGATCGTTGTTACGCACTGCTGAGGAGTCCCACACTAGGACCAAACAGCCTTCTATTTCTTCCAGGTTTTCAATGGTGGTCTAGCTTAGATTGGCTTGTGAATTCAACCATTAAAATCTTAAATAAATCTTTAAATCGAATACTTTTAGGATTGCAAGTATTTTTATATATGTTAATCATCACCGAAACAAATCAAAATTGTAAATTATGTGAATAAACGTTCTTTTTGTTTTTTTCTTTTAGAAAATTTTATAGCCACTCAGAAGAACAAGGTAAGTAGTATATAATATTTTGTTTCTTGTATTTACTTATTAAACATAACCCATGTTTTTTCAGAATGATGTGTGGAGATCGTTGAATTTTATTGATATCATGAACCGATCTAAGTTGGACAACCAATAAACACCTGGAAACACTGGACTTTTGATTATTCCTAGTATGGGACTCCTCAGAATTGCCCACTCATGACCCTACAACCAGGAATCAAATCTAGGATTCTCAGTCTTTTGTGCGAATAGTTAATCTCTAGGCTATTAAGCCAGAATTCTGTGCTCAGTTGCCGTAAACTGGTTCGTGGTTACGCTTTGTTTAGGAGTCCTATACTTGGACAAAATGATAGTTCAATTCTCCCATGTTTTGAATAATTACCTAACTTAGGTTGGTTTATTATTTCAACAATGTTTTTTTAGTAGGTACCTTGTCACAGTATACGACTTAGTTTCCTTTCCTATTTTAATTTTAATCAGACAGAGTTCGGTGAAAACTCACTACAGTAAGAAAAAATGTTTTATCTGTTTCATCTTTCATTATAATGAATGGCCAATTGTTTACTGAGATACCTTACAGTCTTTGATCTAATCTGTGGTTTGGTCTTGAGTGCACACTGTCGATAAGCCTTGTGCTAGAACGAGATAATTTTATATTACTTTCTGGCTTTCACAAGGATCTTAACTGAGACTAACACGTGAAGAAAACAATGTAAAAACTATAACCGTTAATACTACTTATTAGTCATTTAGTAGTAAGAAACATCGACTTTATCCAGTCTTTGGTACGAAGTACTTTCTATGAATGTAAAGGTAATGATAACCAGTAGAGTAAATGTCTTAACATTCATAAACGTCGTGTGTTACTATAGGGTGATTAGCAGTAATCAGTAGGAAACCGCTGATTAGTAAAATCTTTTTGATGGTATGACAAAACGTGTACTCTTCTTGAGATTCGAACCAATGTTATCTAATACTACAGTCAAAGAAGTTGCTATTGAAGTACCTCAGTCATTTAGAGGATGTCGAGTGTTGTTAGAGGTATGAGGGCGGTTTTCACCTTCCTCATTCCGATACTTTAGAGGATTACTTCTTTTTGAGGTACCTGTAAAGGTAAATGTGTTGTGAAAAGTCTAGATCATGTATTAGCGTAACTGAAGATCTGAAGGATCAGCTTCTTTAGCCTGGCAGAAAATAAACTTTCTGTGAGTAATCCTTGATTTCTAAGGCCTTGAAGCCGACAATAAAGATCTGTTTGTCTATAATGCTACACTTTTGGTCTCCATCTTTTCTAACTCCCTTCTTCCATTGTGGTTGGCAGTATAGTTGCAGTTTTTAGTTATTTTTGCATCATGCATGCTATACGGTCGGTAGTTTTACTGAAACCTCAGGTCTTGGAACTTTATCCTAAAATAGAAAACAGTTATTTTGTCAATACAAGGTTAAATTGAAAATGTGAATAGAAATTTTAACAGAGTTGCTTTCACAAACTGTTAATATTGAAAAATAATGACAACAAAATAAATTCAAATTATTACCATTAAAGTTTTTGCTTGGAAATCAATAGGATCACACATCAGTATTGTATAACAAGAATGTACCATGTACCTGCTAGAAGTAATTCTCTGGGTTCTAGTGAGAAGCCGTGATCAGTGGAGTTTAGCTGCGAAAAGTGTGAGGTATTTGCTCACCAAAGACAGTGGAACATTGTTGCTCAATATTGTGGATTGATTGTCGACTTAAACACCATTGGCTATTGACTCAGTGGTATAGAGATTAAATATCCATGCGCGAGACCTAAGATCCCAAGTTTGAGTTGCGGTTGTGAAATAGTGGATGTGCACTATTCAGAAGTACCATACTCGGACAAAATAGCTGTCTACTGTTTCCAGATTTTTCAAAGATTGTCTAACAGATCTGTTCATGAATTTAATGAGATTCAACAATCTCCAGAACCTCGTACTGAAAATTTTATGTAGCAAAGAAACTTTGTGCCACCTGAATAGCGAAAGATTAACAACCATCTCATTTTTAACATATAAATTAGGTTTCTTATACTCTTATAGCAACTCACGTGCAACTGAGTTTGTTCACATATAATTCGGTTAAGTCGTTTTGTTAACTCATTTAGCGGACTGATTCATCCGTACAACAACAACTTATCTATAACATTGTATCTTTATTATCGTTACGAATGTATGAGCCTGTATGCCTGAGAATGCCTTACTGCCGACGTATATATTCATCCTGCTAGCTTTACTATTAGCTGTTTAACTGATTCGATGATTCATTCACTTCTTTATATATATATACATGTGCATTTATTGCTATTCACTCGACTCAGTAACTCATTCATTCGCCTCTCCGCTCTGTGGTCTGAGCTATCTGCTAATAAAACTGTAGTCGCTGATTCTCTTCGCCTTCTAATTTCAAACACCGTTGAGGTTTATATAATAACGGTTACGATGGTGATTGCTTAATGAACCACAGCCACTACACTCCATAACTATAAATTCAGAAGAATGTAGCTGAACTGAGTATTAATCACCATGATAGATTTCAAGGTATCTCACTGAAATTCTGTATCCAAGACATATTTAGTAACTGCCCGGTTTAAAGTAGATTTTTTCTCTTGTTCAAAAGCATTATGAAACATGTTCTAAAAAGTTAAGCACAAGATTTTTTTGTCAGAAAAATTAAAATGTCCCCCCTCTCTCAAAAAATCTTAACTGTTCTATTTTAAACATTGCCCGGCAACAAAAAAAAATTTGTAGACAGTAAATAATTATTTATTAGCACCAGTATTATCGGATTAGTACAAATACTTTTAGAAATATCCTTCCACCCCCCTCCATCCATAATATAACAGTTTGTCTTGTGTGTTTTTTTCCTTAAAATAGAACTTATTTAATAAAAAAATTATCCTTTTAAAAGTCATTTAAATCAAATAAATCACAATTTTTTTTGTATTTTTCATATCAAATTTTTATGATTAGAAGTTCCAAAAAAAATAAAAAAAATAAAAATAAAATTGTGTTTCTATAACTACATTTATGAAATTTTAAGTTATGCTCTTAGTGATTAATGAAAGAAAGCAATATATTTAAGGTTTCAAATCAATTAATTGATCTGTATGGAAATTGTGAATTGATCTAAGTTAATATCAGATGGGTCTTGTGGAGATCGTAGTAATTTCAATGGTTAAGATCATTAGTCAGTTGAAGCTAGATCACCATGGAAAAGCTGGAAGTGCTGGACGGCCGTTTCGTTCTATTGTGGGACTCCTCAGTAGCGCGCATCCACGACCTCACCCCCTGCGAGATTCGAACCGAGGACCTACTGGTTTCGTGCACGAGCACTTAACCACTAGACCAATGAGCCTGCCGGCATCCGACGGTGTTAATGTCTAACTTCAACCAATGCACGAAATTGAGCGACACATCAGTGAGTTACTATCTCACAATAGACCTAGTTGAACTTCACTGGTCACTACTACTTACTAGAACTCCAGGATATACCTCTTGAAGCCAGTCACTGGTGAGCATATGTTGATTAATATCAGATGGGTTTTGTGGAGATTGTTAAACTACTAGTGAAAATTTAGAAAAAACACTGGATGATTTTTTGGTAATAGGATGGAATTTTTCAGTGTTATACATCTACGATTTCACAAATGAGACTCAAACTAAGGACCTTTCGATCTTCTGTGTAAATACTTAATTTGTAGATCACTGAGTCAATATCTAACGGTGTTCATGTCTAAATTTATTCAATACATCATATTATGCAATCTTCCTTTATTGACTGAGGTAGTTAAATGCCTCACACTAGACACGATTGAATTCCACTGGCCATAGTTTATCACTACAATTTTGGAAGTCTTTTCTTGAAACTAGACACTAATAAAAACAAGATGATTGTGGAGATTGTTGAGTTTCATTGACATATCGAAATGATCAGGATAAGACAACTAATAATGTGGTGTGTGCTATTGATGTCGATAGATATAAGTAGTATGTGTCATCAATCCAAAGTGAAATACCTGGAGGCAGAAGGTTAAGAAGATCAAAGAAAAGAGAATGAGAACAGAGAGTGACTGATGTAGAAACTAAGGAACAACGAAGTCTGAGACGATTGGTTGGCATTTTGCAACTGAATCATCTACTGTATGGTTGTCAGATTTTTGTATTCAAATACATTTGATTGTCCGCACTTCTGTTCTCGTTTACTGGAATAAGACCTGGAAGTACTGGACGGCTGTTTGTTTCTAATATGGGACTCCTTAAAAATCTGCATCTACACACCTAATCAGTAATTTACTTTTGTTATTAAGATTCAAACGCACATTGTCTAAATTACTGATTAAGTAAATGACTACAGAACTATTTAAGTGCTAACTAACCACTTGTAAGACTGTAAGATCGATGTCAATCTGGCTAAAAGAGGTTGGCTTATATGATAACCAATAAGTAATTAATTCTCATAAAATATTTCAACCATGGATCAGTGAGTGTCCTTATCTGTTTCTATGATGTTTGGTGATATGGACTCAACAACTCATAGTGAGAATATTGATTCTCAGTGGGATTAAACATGTAACCTACTGACAAATGCTAACTAACACAAATACTCGGTTATCTATGGTCTTCTTCCAACTGCCCAATGTCGAAGAGGTCTGAATCTTTTTAACTGGTTTATTATGTAAATAATAGCGATTATTTAATGATCAAATTATTATGAAGTGATCAAACCTTGGGTTATTAAATATCCTTTTTTTAATTAAATTGTATTACACCGGTGAATTAAATTTAAATCAGCCAGATTTTATGACTTGGGTAATTTGATTGTGAAACCATCATCCTATACACAGTCACTAAGATGATTTAATTGTCTAGCTGAAAGAATATAACATTGATTGAATTCCTGAGCTAATAGTCTACTTCATTAACTCAAGTTCCTTATGTGAACAATATTCCTTAATTAGTTACCATTATTATTATTAATGGTACAAGTTATTTCAACAAATTTCCTTTCCTTATTTCTTTTTTCCATTCTGATGATAAATACTGAGTGATCACCAGTTTAGATGTTAGCAGTTCATGAATTGACATTTGAACAATGATCATTCTTTTCAATACATGTTGACATTCACTAATAATATCTCCGAATGTACTTTTTGTAACTTGTATAGCGAAAGATCATAAACGTGCAGGTAAATTGTTGAGATGTATTGATGTCAGGAACAAGTAGCCCAAATACTCAAAAAGGCCTTGTTTTACCTATATAATTGTAATAAAATAATGTAGTTATTTATTTGAACACATAGATATTGGTACAAAGGGGTACCGAATACATATGCACCACACAAATCTCGTTTGATTTGTTTGGGGGGCTGTGATACCGCCCGGGTGCCTAAACTGAAACAGGTGATTTTTTAGGCGGCCACACCTGGGGCCTTCGATCTAAAGGTCTAATACACAAGGCAGTGGAACAACGTAACGAGATGCAGTCCCATGGTGGCTGGTGACCAATAATTGGTTCATAGAGCCCATGTGACCATTGGTTTGGAATCAGAGTTTTCCAATTCTCCCAGGTGAACTCTCCGTGTCCACCAACCGGGTTAAAGCGCCGGACATTCGCTTTTCGTCCTCTCAATTTCGTAAACAACACCCCGGCCACGAGAATGTGGTGAGTAGGACTTCCCTGGCAGAAGCTATATACATGTGGCCATGTGAGAGCATTTGGAGAGGAAGAGATGACTCTCCTCACTCTCGACCGTACCAGGGCATTTGGGGACAATGAATAGGTTTTATATAGTTACATGAAATACATTTTCATTCATGTAAACTACAACACATCCATTTGATTATGTAGGTAATTAACTATTTGTTCATTATCTAATTAACAGAAATTACACTTACTAATTAATAAATGGATATTACTAATAAGTGGACAATTCATTTCCGTCAAATTACAAATAAATAATCTCTGCTTAAATTGTAATGTTTCGTTGTTGTTATCATTAACCGATGTTCTAACAAGCAAACACACACACACATACACACACAAAAAAAAACTGATGACACCCCATATAAGTATTGGTATTCATTCTCAGTTTACATTATATGAAACAATCATTAATGATTGTACTGTATGAACAAACAAACACTCAACTAATAGTCCACATTTTATTTTAGAATGAGAATGTAATTGAAATTGACAAAATAAAATAAAGTTTTATATGGTTTCCAACTTGTTAATGTTCATTAATAAAAGTATATTATCAGAAGAGGTTTTGTGGAGATTTTAGAAATTTCACTGATTGAAATCATGAGTCAGTTAAAGCTAGACCACTAGGGAAAACCTGGGAACACTGCACGGCCGTTTCGTCCTAGTATGGGACTCCTCAGCAGTGCGCACCCACGGCCCCGCACCCCGCGAGGTTCGAACCCAGGACCTATCGGTCTCGCACCAGGCGCTTAACCAACTAGACCACTGAGCCGTCATAAATCATAATAAGAATGATAAAATATTCTAAGACCATGAATTATTTGTTTGAGCTCTAGTAACAAGAATTTAGCTATATCCTCTGTTGATAATTATTAACACTAGATACTATTGAAATGGAAATATTGATCTCCATTAGTTTCTAAGTCATATAATATATATATGTCTTTTCATGCAAGACTGACTGAAATAACGAAGGTAAAAACACTAATCATATAAAATTACAAGAGTTAGAACCGTGATTTACCTAAGTAGCCTCTTAGTATTATTAGATACTTTAGGTAGTGTAGTTCAAATAGGTACTAGGGGTCTATAAAAAGACCTTCTGGTCTCATGAAGAACATATAAACTTCAAACTATTAACTTAGTATTCGCTGTTTTATATGTTGATGAAGGTTTGATAACTCTAAACGTCTTTTGATGTCGTTTGGTGGGTAATTCACTCATAAGTCAATACTTCCTAGGAGTTCCATATTAGAACGAAACAGTTATCTATTATTTTCAATGATAGTTTAAAGAAGTCAGTGTGTGATGTAATTTATATAACTGGAAAATCTTCATAAACGTCTTACAGGAATGTAGACTTGCACTTGGTAAACGAGAAAAACTATCTCCTATTCCAATAAAAATACGTCGAAGTTTCGGATGCTTATTTAGTTGGAAACTAAAGTAGTATCATGATAACAAAAGAATCTATGAAAGTTCATAGCGATTTTTTTCATAAAATCCATGTGCTCGTTTCATCATAAATCAAATTTTATATTTCCTCCATTGAATAACACTTCGGTTGTACATATACTAATATTATTTAGATTTTAAATTCAGATTTGTGTATTAAGGACAGAAGGCCTACGGCCTATGTTATTCATTTTTTTAGTATACTTCTTTGAGTGTTTAGTCTTTTCATGAATAGGTCAATTGAAGGTATGGACACCACTGAATCAGGTAACATGTTCCAAGAATTGATGACTCGGTGCAAAAACCTGTATGCCACAGGGTATTTTGTTCGTTCATGGCTTTTCTACTCGCCTGTTATGTCCTCTGCGATGTCCAGATCTAGTGGGAAGGATATAAAAAATAAAGGACCTAGGACAGAACCTTGAGATACTCCACTAAGTACTGGTCTCCAGGTAGAGCACTGAATTTTAGTCAGTTTCTGTTGGGACAGGTATATTCTACGCGAACATTCTAAATGCTTTATCACAAATCTGGCTACCGTCCAGAATCCATCTATTGTACTAAAACTTGGCGACATCAATTTAGCTGACAAAGAATGCTCTTATACTATCAAAGATTGGTTCAAATTCAGTCTTAAATATTAATAACGGAATAAATCAATAATCATATTGACATAAATTGATAGTTGTCTAAACTCGATAACTCAGTGGATAACGTGTTTATCATTCGAAATATTAGCTACCAGGGTTGTAGGTTAATCTATTTGATGAATCTTAAATAGGATGAAAATCTAGATCCTGTATTCCAAAACTAATGAC